ATAAAAACAATCTCAAATGATGAAAACGATGGATAACACCACTGCAATAGCACTAGACAGAGGAAGCATGTATTATTGCAAAGTGCCTCCACTGCAACAGGTAGTCAGAGTACGGAGCCTACTGCGCTTCTGTTCAGCAACAAGCCTCAACAGTGTTTCCCAACCCCAAAGATCTGCCAGTGTGTGAGCTGTCAGAGAGGTAGATTAACAGTCGATCTCTGCTTACTGTCGCATCAGGCTTAAATCCAACACCTTTTGGAGCCCCTTATCCTTGTAGGACCTCATCAATCTTTCACTGCCTGCTTAATCTCTCATAAATCCACATGTAATCTAACCTACGTATCTGAGGCGAGCAGCAGGGTGCATCCACTGTCGTACCCTGAATCCTCTCCATGTGATTTCATTCAATTATTAATATAGTTATTACATCTCTTGTTAACACACTTAAAACACTTTACTCACAGTCTGGCCTTTGCTTCACAGACTGAACAAGGAACAAACTCAATTTTTCGATCGCCTGAAAGGCTTTCAGAGGAGGGCGAGCCAGTGAAACAAACAGCTACTATCATTAAGACAACAGTATCTTCTTTTCTATAATTTGGCCTTCTTCATAACCACTGCTTCCTCTTTACAATGTCTGTTACCTAATCTCTGCCTAAATATTTGTTTTGCAATGTCAATGACAAGAGCAACACAGTTTCCCAGTTCGGCTTTACTTTGAACTATATTAACGTTGTGCCCTCATCACATAATGCTGTTTTCCAAAAGTCCAGCTTTTAGCAACTATGGGCTAGTCACACATACTGTAGTCTTGTGGTGAACCAAGAAAGCTCTTCTATAACAAAGTCTAAACTCACAGTAGAAAGTAAACTGTTCATCAGAGACATACAAATGTCCAGAAAACCTTCACTCTGTATGCTTTAGATAACTGGCAACAATCAGAACCTGTTCTTCAAATATTTTTGGGGCTTTCATTCCCTTTAATTGACAGTGACAGCTGAAGAGGAAAAGGGGCAGAGAGAGAGGGGACGACAAGCAGCAAAGGGCCACAGGTCAGAGTCAAAACCATGGCCAATGCAGCAAGGCCCCATCCCCGGCAACTGGGGAGCCAGCTCCACCAGGCAAGCTATCAGGACGCCCCAACAATCAGAGCCTTTACCATAAAGTAAACTAGCTAAATCATGAAAGAAGAATCTTTTTGAAGAGCATGCTGGTACGTAGAAGCTGCTAAAAGATGGTGCCTGTAATAGAAAATGCCAGGCTATCCATTACCTAAACATTATTCATCCAGAAATGTAATTTAGGAGAGGCGTCCAGTAAATAGATTACAACAAAACAATCAATGCATGACTGATAGCATGGGGCGCTGTACT